TTCCAGATACAACAGTTATTTTCTTTTTCAGACCAGGTTTAAGCAAATTGCACATTTGGCACGTGTGGAAACAAGTACAGTTGTCTACAATATGCACAATAACTAAATGCACATGGCTCATTGATCACAACTAATGAGTCGATTCTCAGTGAAACTCTTCATAACATATAAACATTATTTCACTGTGTGAGCTATCACATGCAAAATTATCAATTAAATTCTCAAAATCTATCAGACATGTACAGTCCAAAAATATCTATGACATGAAATGTTTGTAATGACTACTAAATTGGCAAATTACCTGCCATTGTAATTAAAATAGGAATCACTGTCTTACCAATCAATCAAAAATGTTGTTTGATTGTTCTGGTGCAACTTCACACAATCAACAAGGTGCATGGAATTTTTTTTTTATATTGGGACAATACCAGCAACACTTGTGATGTCAAGGGTTCAGAACAAACCAATCGACCAGTCAAGTTTGGAGACATATATGGAGTTTGCCCATTTTTGAACATGGAGAGATGTCACAACCATTAACAACAGCTACATGTATGTGGAAGAGCAATAAGAAGATATGACAATATCTTTGCAAATATCAATTCTGTCAGAATTTCCTCTATAGAAAAAAAAAAACAATCAGATGACTATGAAACAACTCTACAAGGTGCCATTAGAGAGGAATAGTAGAGTGAAGGAGCTGTGGTAATAGTATGTTTAGGTAAACCATTGGTATGTACTTGGTATATAGTACAGCAAGCTTTATTGTATTTCAAAGATGCCTGTGCATACTTCTTGAAGTTGTAGATCTCCATAATAACAAAAAAATTTACTAAACTTCTAGAATAATCTACCGTAAAACTTCAAATAATAGCCGAGTCCCAAATAGACGCCTGTCTCTTTTATACGCCTGGTGTGACGACAGGTTTGGGTAAATGAGTGGTGGGAAAGCTCAACTTCGCCCCTCGTCTCCTAGCCTGGGATTCATATCGCTGTCATATCAGCGCAGCGACCAAAGCTGAGCTCAAAAGGGGCTACAACATAACCACGGCTGTGATACCCGGTGGCTGTACAAAGTACATACAGGCCCCTGACGTCGTATGGAACCAACCATTCAAAGCCAGCCTGCACGAGTCCTATGACAACTGGATGGCAGGGGATGTGGACAAAGAGTACACAGCTGGAGGAAATATGAGGGCCCCAGCTCGTCGCTTGTTGGTTTCCTGGGTACTTCAAGCGTGGGAAAAGCTGGATACGGAGCGGCTGAAAAATTCCTTTAAGGTATGCTTGCGCGCGCGCGCGCGCGTGTGTGTGTGTGCGAGGGAGAAAGAGGAGATAATATATTTCATTAACTTCGGGATGTTATCCTTAGGTATGTGGCCTGACAGTAGCTTCTGATGGAAGTGAGGATCACCTTATCCATTGTTTCAAAGAGGGAGAGCCGTGCGCATCTGGGCGAGAGCTGTTAGTGCAAGCAAGGCAGGCAGAGTTAGCGGAGGCTGGAGAGGGAGAAGTGGAGGAGAGCGACGTGGAGGAGGAATTCGCCAATGAACTTGTAATTGAGGATCGCGGGGATGATGATAGTGATGAATAGAGTAATTTTCTATCACATGATTGCAGTTGTTTTACAGGGTAGCCTTCATTTCATTCTTTCTTGTTGATATGTTTCGGGCAACAAGTTCATATGCTCGATGGATTTTAGCGGTAACTTATATTGTTCTGCCCATTGCTGTCACATCGTTTCGTTTTTTATGCTGCCAATAATCTAAGACATTTCTTACACTAAATTATTTGTTAAACACATTCGTTTAGGGGTAACTTGTATTGTTCTGCCCATTGCAGTCACATCGTTTCGTTTTTTATGTTTTTTTTTTTTATGCTGCCAATAGCCAAAGACATTTCTTACATTAAATGATTTGTTAAACACATTCAAATTAATTATAAATAAAACGTAATATAATGTGGTAACCTCCTACTGTCATGCTTGAACATCTCAACACTAAATTAAAGGCCTGTCTCTTATAGACGCCTGTCTCAAATACAAGCCGGTGCAGTTCGGCGATTTGGGTAAATAGAAGCCCGGGCTATTATTTGAAGTTTTACGGTATGTAAAACTAACTTATATAAATCATAGAGATGGAAAGATACGAAATAACCCACATTTCTGTTTTTGTGGATGAGGCTGGGTTCAATCTAGCCAAAGGCATGAGACATGGGTTGCAATCTCATTGGACACTGAACCACAACTGGCACACCAGGCCAACGTGGGGGCAATATTACAATGCGTGCTGCCATTTCTGAGAATGGTACGAGCACCTATACCACATACGTCTGACACCCAACTTCTCCTGGCCTTCCTAAAGATCCTTTATAGAGACCTAATATCAGAACACGAAAGAGGTTTAGTTAGGCCACATTTGCCAGATTATTTTGTATTCAGTCTAAGACTTTACATGTAAGAAATCTGTTAAAAATTAAAAAGCAATTGAATTTCAGTTTACATGTAACACGTTTCAGTAACTATAAATGTACGGTATAAGTACAAATGTTCATATTATTTTTCTGTGTACTACAGTATTGATTTTTTCACAGTAATTTTTACCTATTGTTGAAATCTGTATTTAAAAAGCTCAGAGTCATACACAAGCATTTATCTAGACCAGGGGTGTCAAACTCATTTCCTGGAGGGCCGCAGCCCTGCAGAGTTTAGTTTCAACCATGCTCCAACACACATACCATAGTTTTCAAATAAGCCTAAAGGACTCGATTAGCTGCATTAGGTGTGTTTAATTAGGGTTGGAGTTCAACTCTGCAGGGCTGCGGCCCTCTAGGAATTGAGTTTGACACCCCTGATCTAGACAAAACTGACATTCTTGTATAGTATGCTATCACATTGTCAACAAATTTGTTTATGAAATTTGAAACATATGCTGAAAAATACATTTTGACCAGCATGGCTCACACAATGACAAAATACATTTTCATTTTGGTGGCATTGGCTACAATAACTGACACAATAACTAGGTTTTGAAGCATGAATTAACTGTTTTGGATGAGCTACTATGTTTTGCAGAAATGCAATTAAGTGGTGATGTTCCAGCAAACAGCTGTGACAATTGCACTTACAGTTTAGTCAAAAATGAAAAAGCTAATGATGAGCCAAAGCGATTGAGGGAAAAAAAAATTATAATACATATGGTTTCTGGAAAATGATATGCCTTGAGTTGTTTAACTTTAAGCACTGTGCATACTGTAAAATGTGCTCTGATGAAAATACATGTAAAATACATTAGGTCATTCAAACTGGTCCATGCTATTCTTTCTAAATATATCACTAAACTTCAGTTTAAATCAGTAAAAACAATGAAGACTCCCTCCATGATATAAATATGAATATCCAGTGTGATGTCTTTAAGAGTACTAAAGTAGTTTGTACATCAGAGAGAGGGAATTTCAGAGAAACAGATAATAGTATTGCAAAAATAGAACACATCTTTGACCTCCTTTTTGTCCATCATTCCTTTATGACGAAGAGGCTTGTCGAAACCTACTTCTTATTCTCTTTATCTCTTAGTCCAACACGAAACTTTTTGTTTCGTTAATAAATTTTGATTGTTAATAAAAAGGCAGTCTTCATGATTTCTACAACAGAAATATTAAAAAGGGAACTAAGGCAGATAGTTAGATATGATGCCATATGAAATATAATGCTATTACAAGGCGGCCATAGCAAAACTAGCTAGATATCATCTGTTTCATGCAAAATAGCCTCTGATAGTGCTGTAAATATATCTCATTACTTTGCCTGACAGTGTTGTCCCAACAGGAGTGTCGGACAGGGGGGTAATAGTGGAACTGAGTAACAGGGGCCCTTGGCGAGGGGTGCATAATGATATACTGATAATCTATAACATTAACATGACAAAATTAAATAGATGTATAGTTATATACTATGGTACTAGGAATAATATTCGCAAGACTCAATTTTACAACTGTAAAAAGGGAAATGTTCCTTATTTGTCTAGCAGCTTGTGCCCTCCCATGTTAGATGTCCCCTAATCAAAAAGGAAAATTGTTTGGTCTTGTAGTCCAGCGCTTGGCAAGACTTTAGCTATTAAAAATGCTATATTGCACCAAATAAACAGTGGCAATTAGGTTGAGACATGGCTGTGGCCACCTGTTTGATGTGCCCACTTTTAGTTGCTAAGCAATTGTGCCTCTATAAGTGCCGGTCAAAGGTGATGAATTGATGTTAAAAACATAAATAGCAATCAAAGCAGGTGGTGAGATTAATATTGTAAGTGTGAATATTCTTTTCACATTTTCTCTCTTTTTCTTGATGCTTGCACTTTATCGCGGTTAAAGCGGTTCTCGCAGTGTTTTTTTTTACAAAAATAAGTCATAAGGGCTTTGTAAGATTTGTAAGAAACCTCTACAAAGGGTTTGTTACTGTTTTTCATAAGATCTTGAGATCTGTCTGTCATAAGAAGCAAAAATTATTGTGATCTAGCAAGAGCACCACTTCTTTAATGCTTTATGAATACAGCTCCAGGATTGGTTAAATGATTTATAAATCTCTAACAATACAAGTCACTTGGCCCCTTTCACTTATTGAATTATTGAACATTTAAGATTGCTGCCTGTAATGAATGGTCCATATTTGGGTCTTTTTTTCTCCCAAGTCTATTAAAGGATTAGCGGGCAAATAGCAGTCTGAAATGTTATTAAGTATTTATAAACACTGAAAACTGACTGAATTGGGGCAACACAGCAATATCAACCATTGTAATGAGTGAATTGGAAGCTCTGTAGTTTTATTGAAGGAATAATTTAGACCCGCATCAGTTATATGTTTTAATGTCATAGAAGGCAATGGTGTTTGTTAAAGAGCTCTCAAAGGAATTAAATAAGTGCATTTGGTGTCAGTATCAACAGTCGATTGAAGGTCCTCAATTGGCCAAATTAAAACTCAAACTGTCCTCAAGTCAAAATTAAGGGAGTTAAAAATTCAAACCTTGTGCGATGAAGGGAGTTTTGTCCTCTGGGGTAGGAAGGGAGTCAGGCCGAGGGGTTGGTGCAGGGGGGCGGTTCACTATTACTACAGAGCTGCTGGATGTGAGGATGGTGTCATACTCTTCCCCATCTCTACCCAGGGGAGTATAGACATTTTCATCTTCATTGTTTTGGTGTTCCTCATTAGGATCAAGCAACCAAAGATTATCTGTGTAAAGAGCAAATGGATGTTGATTTCCGAAACACCAGCATTTAGATGTAAATAATGAGGGACTGAATTCAAGTACAAAGTTTAATATATATATATATATATATATATATATATATACAGTATATATATATATATA